CAGGTCCCAACCCAGAGAACTACCTACTTCTATGATCAGTCCCAGACATCCATTACTACAGTCCCATTCCCTGAGCTGCTTCCTACCCTTCCTTCCAATGCTCCTTCTCAGCCTCCACTGTCTCTCCACCAGCAGTTGTCTGGGGGTCCACTGGAGTCTTAACCCAGCTGAGTTCTGTGTTCTGGCACTCCAGCAGACACCTGCAACACAAATTTACTCCCATAAGTGACCAGCCCAGACTGAGTTGAGCTACTCCATTTTATACTCTGGTTCCAGTTGGAGCATGCCCAGAAGTGGTGAGGGGGGCGTGGCTTACTCGGCCCACAGCATTCGGTTAACCACTGTTTAACTGGTATGGGATAGGTACACCCCATCACAGGCTATTAAAAATGCATCTGATTTTAAAAGTGAGCTGTGAAGGAAATAAAGCAGATGCTCTAATGGATGGGGCACTGCAACAGGACACCAAGGGTCTCGGTTCTATTCCTGGCTCTTCCATTGACCTGGGGCAAGTCAGTTTCCCCCCTTTGTCTGTCTTGTCTCTTTAGATTATAAATACCTCAATGCAGGGATTGTCTCTTATTATGTGTAGGTACAGTGGTTAAAATGGGCCCTCTAGGCACTACTGTAATATAAATAGTAATATAATAAAATTTGCATTCTTTTATTTCTTTATGGAGTGTACAATTAGCCTAGATTGTTTTCCTCCTGGCTTTTCTTTAACCCTAGACATATCAAGTCTTGTCTTGTTTATTTTTGCTGGAGTTCTCTTTAGAAGATTCAAGGAGTAGGTCTGAAGCTTTCTCAGCCCATAACTGAAGGAAAGGAGGGTACAATATTTAATTACAGAGCACATTTTTTCTTTGTCGGGCATCTTTAAGTGTCATTTTAGCACAGTGACAGAAACAGACTGACATCTTTCTGTGAATCAGCTGTCCCCTCAGCACAGGTGAACCCGTATGTCCTTTGTTTTGAGCAATTTGCTTAAAAGGATATTTATCAGACTGGTAACCCATCACCACTGGGGACTGAACCCTGGATCTTCAGCACTAAAGATACAGGTCTGTAGCTCCAAAGATAAAGGAGAGCTCCCTGAGCTCTGACAGTAGCCAGTGACAGATGCTTCATAGGGAATGAACAGAACAGGGCAATTATGAGTGATCTAACCCCAGTTGTCCAGTCCCAGCTTTTGGCAGTTGGAGACCTGGGGACACCAGGAGCATGGGGCTGCGTCCCCGATCATCTTGGCTAATAGACATTGATGGACCTATCTTCCATGAACTTATTTAATTCTTTTTTGAACCCAGTTATACTTTTGGCCTTCATGACATCCTATGGCAATGAGTTCCACAGGTTGACTGTGCATTGAGTGAAGAAGTACTTCTTTTTGTTTGCTTTATATCTGCTGCCTATTAATTTCATTGGGTGACCCCTGGTTCTTATGTTATCTTCATCATCATTATGTTTCCATGACACCTCTGGCATTTAGGGCAGGGATGAATCTCCTCCACTCCTGTCTGTTTCTAGCAAGTCTTTCAATGGTTCCCCAGCTGTGCCCCAGGTTTTTCAGGTCAGCTTCCACAGCTCTTCGTCATGTTGTTTTCGGGCAGCCTTGTTTTCGCTTGTCTTCAGGTGTCCATCTTATTGCCACTCTGGTGATGTAAAGGAGTAAATAACACGTCCCTATTCATTTCCTCTGTACCATTAATGATTATATAGACCTCTATCATATCCCCCCTTAGTTGTCTCTTTTCCAAGCTGAACAGGCTGTCTTTTTAAATTTCTCCTTGAATGGAAGGTGTTCCATACTCCTGAACATTCTTGTTGCCCTGCTCTGTACCTTTCCTGATTCTAATATATATTTGAGATGGGGCAACCATAACTACATGCAGTATTCAAGGTGTGGACGTACCATGGAGTTATATAGTGGCATTAGGATATTTTCTGTCTTCTCATCTATGCCTTTCCTGATGGTTCCTAACATTCTGTTAGCTTTTTTGACTGCCGCTGCACATTGAATGGATGTTTTTGGAGAACTACCCACAATGACTCCAAGATCTCTTTCTTGAGTGGTAACAGCGAATTTAGACCTTATCATTTTGTATGTCTAATTTGGATTATATTTTCCAATGTGCATTACCTTGCATTTATCAACATTGAATTTCAACTGCCATTTTGTTACCCAGTTTTGTGAGATCCCTTTGTAACCCTTCACGGTCAGTTTTTGACTTAACTATTGTGTAATTTTGTATCATCAGCAAATTTTGCCACTTCACTGTTTACCTCTTTTTCCAGATCATTTATGAATACGTTGAACAGCACAGATCGCAACACCCCACTATTTACCTCTCTCCATTGTGAAAACTGACCAGTTATTCCTACCCTTTATTTCCTGACTTTTAACCAGTTCCTGATCCAGGAGAGGAACTTCCCTCTTATCCCGTGACTGCTTGCTTTCCATAAGCCACTAGGTGGTGTCATGATCACAAGTATTGGCCTTCCCTTGACTATTACATTTGCAACCCAAACACTGCAGCACTGAGAACTGGACTATAAACAAATATGAAACCAATTTCATTTATTGTCATTATCCAAACTGAGGGAAATATAAACAGAGTCTAAACAGTGACTTGTAAACTGGATTTTTAAAACCCCTTCACTTCTAATTACCTACGGTGCTATTAGTAACATAGGGAGAGACATGCACTTGTCCACAATATATGATTCTTTAGCTGACAGTGTTGCTTTAAATGGGTGAATTTATAAAACTAGCTAGCAGCTCTGCCTTTCTTTTCTCCAGTGTGAGCTGTGGGAGATGAATCAAGGTGGTTCGTATATAGGGATATAATATGGCAATGCAGGGAAAAGAAGGAAACCAGGGAATTATGAGTCACATGGAAAATCAGTATCATTTCCTTGTGCCAGCCACTGCAAAGAGCTTTTTAAGGATCTTGAGGGTCTGGAAGAGTTGATGCTCAATATGGAAACAAAACAAGGATTCCCTGCTCGATGCAAGTTGGGTGTCACAACAGCCTCGCATTTCTCTGGAGCATCCAGGAATCAGGAACTGGCTCCATTGGAAAAATTGAATCAATGGAACATTCCAAACTTCAGGACTAAGGCCAGATGCCCAGGTGAACTGCTGCAATTCACTTTCTGAATTCCGCATCCCAGTCCCCCTCCCAGTCTATTATCCTAACCCTGGGCGCCAGTGGAGTTCCCCTGGGGGGGAATTTGGCTGAACACCCAGTGAGGTAGGTAAGGAGTGTTGCACAAATCCTTTTGTTACTAAGTATAAATGTTGAATGCAAAATGGATCTTGAGGACAATTCGGTGAGTAATCTGGACTCTGAGTAAGGGATGTGTCACCGTTGAACTACAGAAGCAATGGGATGAGGCAAGCCTTTGAGTCCAATCACAGTTATTAGTGATAGGAATAAAAGACGCTATTGTTGCTCGGTAGTGACCAGTTGCTTTTAATAAGCGTTAATAACGATTTGGTGAGTTCCCTAGGAAGTTGGCCTATACACCAATGGGTTCTGCTTTACAGGGCAAATCTTTATCAAGGCTCCCCAGCCTGAACCAATATGATCCTGTGCATGCAAAGGCCAGACTTGGGGAATCCATGCCATTGTTATGCACCTCTGGGTGGGGGGGAACAAAGCAGAGAGTTAGGAGGGAGGTGAAGGAGCAAGGATCCATTATTGCTATGTGGATCCACTGCTCTCCATAAGGGAGCAGGAGATACCAGAGCAGCTCCACAGCCTCTCTGTGGCCTGCTTCCTCCCACTCCTCCTCTTGGGTTTGCGCCCACCCATGGCTAAAGGGCCGCGCCGAGGACGGTGATCTGCTCCATCACAGAGGTACCCAAACTTTGCCCACTGAAAATTTGCCAGGAACCCTGCTGAAAGTGCTCCCTTATATGCGCACCACGGAGGAGATTTCAGCCATTCTGTTCTGAGCTGTGGAGACAAGGTTTATATGGAGACTGCCTGGATGATGAGAAAAAGGGACTCCTTCCCTTGTATCTCCTCCAGATAGCACAATATCTTCTCTTTCTGGTGCCATGAATACACTAGTGAGCTTACATCGGCACAGCTGTACCGATGCAACTGTGAGATTGCTCGTGTAGCCACTCTTTGCCAACAGGAGAGAGTTCTCCCGTTGACATAATTAAACCACTTCCAACAAGTGGCGGTAGCTATGTTGGCGGGAGAGCATCTCCCGCCGACATTGCGCTGTCCACACCGGCACTTCTGTCTGTGTAACTGATGTCGCTCAGAGGGGTGTTTTTTCACACTCCGAGCGACATCAGCTATACCGACAGAAGTGCCAGTTTAGACATAGCTTGGGTCTATTTTCCAGGCTGTCAACATAGACACAGAATGCTTTGGTGTATGTTACTTTTACTGCACTGTGCACGTTGCTGCCGCGTATCTATCGATCTCTGAAGGTTTCATACCACTGCCCAAGGTCAATAGCAGGAGCAAATCCCATAGTGGACCTCATAGCATCTCCGGCGCTTCTTTTTCAGGGGAAAATCTCTGCTTGGGAGATTTGTGTGAGTTGATTGATTTGTTGGGGGGCGGGGTGTTTACATTTCAGATAACCCAGTCATCATTAGACTAGAGCCACCCTGCGGCGCTGCTATGTGGACCTTCAGGGTTGTGGGGACGGGGTAGTTGTAGGCCAGCATGGGAAAACCTGGGGGCATCTGCATTTAGGCACCGAGAGATCACGGCGGCTGGAAATCAGGCCCCGGCAGTCTGACGGTCGGAAGCAGGTGGGAAAATGCCGCCCGTAAGCGCAAAGTGAGACCCGGGCGGAGCGAGCCAGGGCGGCTGAGCACTGCCCCGCGGCGCCTCGTTTGTCGCCCTGCCCTGTCTCCGCAGCGGGGCCGGGGCACGCCCGGCAGGGGCTGGCCTTGGCACGGCGCCGGGCCAGGGCTGCGGAGCGGCTCCTCCTCCGAGCCGGGCGGCCGCGGGCCGGGCGGGGGGCAGCATGTCGGGGGCCGCGCCGAGGACGGTGATCTGCCTGCTGCGCAGTGACCTGCGCTACCACGACAGCGAGGTGGGGACAGGCGGCGCCGCCGGCCGGGCTGGGGGCGATGGGCGCGGGCGCGGCTGCAGCCCCCGGAGCACCGGGCTGGGCCACCCTCTCCCCGGGCGCTGAGCCCCCCTGGCCCGCCCGGGAGCCCGGCCGGCCCGGGGGCGCGTTGCAGCTGTTTCCCGTGCTGCCCGCACGTGGCTTTATGTAACCCGGGCGCCTCTGAGCTCCGCCCCCGCGGGCCGCTGCTGAGAGCCGGGGTTGGGGCGCCGATCCCGGGGTGTGAGCGGGCTGGGGGACCCTCGCCTGCTGCTGAGGCCACACGGGCAGGGCCGGCGGTAGGGTTCGGAGTGGGGGAAGCGAGGGGGCTGGCAGGGGGTAGCAGGGCCTGTTGGGTGGGGAAAGGGGCTCTCTGATGTCCCTGCTGACAGTAGGAATGATCCGTGCATGATAATGATCTGCCTTGCCCCAGGAAATCCAGGGGTTATGATAGCTGGGATGGTGCTTTGGCGATCTCACGCCTTGCGCCAGGTATTTGTTATAGCACCGGCCATCCAAGCACATTGCAAACATCCCCCCTGGGAGGCAGGGGTGGGAGCTGTAGGGATCTTTGGAGGTGAAAGGCAGAGCTCTGAGCGGCACATAGCAATGCTACCAGCTTTAGGAGCCCAAGCGTCAATGCAGTGTCTTGTGTGACTAGAGGGGAATTTAGGGAGGCCAATGGCAATTGCCCAGGTTGGAATTTGACCAGCACTCTGGAGATAGCATCACCCCTGTTGCAAATATTGCCATGGGGGCTTTCATGCCCTGTACCCTGACCTTTATTCTGGACGCTGCCCACACATTTTAGCCTGTTAAATTAGGGCCACGTTTTAACCTCTCCGCCTGCCAGCAGAGGGTCTGAGAGTCCGGCAGATCCCAGCCTAGGGCAAGAGTGGGGATGGCATGGGAGAGTGCCCCTGTCACTGCCTCATTGCCCCCAGGTCCTGTGGTAACTGCAATGCAGGGTTCCAGCTCTGTGCATGGGAAGGGAGAGGCTGGAGAGGGCAGCTGTAAAACAGCAGCATTCCCCAGTTAGCCTTGAGGCACTTCTGTGGGGATCAAGTATCACAGGAGTAGCCGTGTTAGTCTGGATCTGTAAAAAGCGACAAAGGGTCCTGTGGCACCTTATAGACTAACAGACGTATTGGAGCATAAGCTTTCGTGGGTGAATACCCAGAAGTGGGTATTCACCCACGAAAGCTTATGCTCCTGTTAGTCTATAAGGTGCCACAGGACTCTTTGTCGCTTCTGTGGGGATGTGATTACTGACTCAGTCGGCATGGACGTACCTACCTTTCACCTCCGTGCTGTGTAAGCCCCTTTGAGGAAGTCTCTAATTTTTATAGCTGGCACCTAGATACCAAGGTGATAGACACATTGGGGCTCTGATCTTGGTCTCTTTTAAGTCAATGGGAGTTTTGCCTACAAAGTCTGTGCAGGATCAGGCCCTGGAAGAGAGGGAGAGACCCTATAATATAATAAACCTACAGTACAATATCCAGTTGCATGTCTTCCTTTTTCATTACGAGGCTGAATAAAGACAAATTGAAATGGTGCTATTAATTGCTGTACAGAAAGAGAACACATGGAGCATTGACATCTTTAACTGCTCCTCTTTGTACTTCCAGGTACTACGCTGGGCTCAGAATAACGCAGACTACGTCATTCCTCTCTACTGCTTTGATCCAAGACAATACCTAAGAACCTATTACTATGGTTTCCCAAAGACTGGGCCTCATCGACTCAAATTTTTACTGGAAAGCGTGAAGGATCTAAGGCAAACACTCAAGAAAAAAGGAAGGTACAGGGGGGATTTGTCATAAACATGAGTGTTTTATTTTTTAACCCACTTTATTCTTCCACCTCCTCTTCTTTAAAACTTGTCTGTCCTATGGAGCAAGCAATGCTAGTGACAACCATGTTTGACCACCTGTTGCTAGTACCATAAAAACACAGGAATTCCCATGCTAGCCCAATAGCCTGTCTCTGGCAACAGCCAGCACCAGATGTTTCAGAAGATTATGCAAGAAACCCCAGGGTCAGCAGTTATGGGATATCTATCTAAGGTTCTTGTACGGCCTCCATTACCATAATATCTGAGCACCTCACATTATATGAAGTATTTATTCTCACAACACCCTTGTGTAGTAGGGAAGTACTTTTATCCCCATTTTATAGATGGAAACGGAGGCATAGATTGGCTAAGTAACAGGAAATCTGTGGTAGAGGAGGGAGTTGTACACTGGTCTCCCTAGTGTCAAGCCAGTGCTCTAACCATTGGACCATCCTTCCTATCCCTAGGGAGTTTCATCTCGTGGTTGGCTTGAGCCCTTGATGTATGAAAGATGTTTTCCCAGACCAACATGGGCCATGGCTTTCTGTATAGCCCATAGCTCGGTGTTATACCACTGATAACACAGTCCTCAGGAAAATCTTCTTGTCCATGCTGGTCAGGGAAAGTTAGGATCTAAAATCTTCCAAGCACCTTTTTCTTAATTTTATTATTATCACAGCAAGATAATGTTAGTCCTTGGATAGCAGAATATGCAGCAGTTGGCTTGCCCCTCTCCTGAGAGGGTGCAGTGGTGACAGGTTGTGGATCACAACACCAGAAGAATTCCTTTAGGTCTGCAATACACTATGGTCCGTGAAAGGGATTATGCTAGTTTAGGAGGACCAATTAGAATCCCTAACAAAGCTAATGAACTGGCCAGTATGTGTATGTGCCACTGGCCTGTACAGGAGAGAATCAGAATTGCTCAAACATGTGTGATGCCTTGTGACTGACTCACAAAGGCCACATATAAGACCTAACATCTCTGCAGATAAGAGATTCTTCTTTAGCTCAAATGGCAAAGACCTCTGGTTTTTAAGAACATTCAGACCTATGCTCCATCTGTTAATATTTGGCATGTCCTTTCAATGCCATAGAATTAACAGACCAGATCGTAACTCTCCCTCACCTTAGATCAGTGCATAGTGGTGCCTCCCCATGCATACATCTCTCAAGTCCATGTTGAGAATGTAGAGGCAAACAACCATTTCCACGGCATGTCTCCCTACGCCCCCCACCAAAACCCAGCCAAGCCTTTTCTTGAAGCAGTGTTTTTGCATAGTCTAAGCATTGAGTTTAAATTGTATCGCTTGATGATTGCTTGTTCTGTTCATTCCCTCTGAAGCACCTGGCATTGGCCACTGTCGGAAGACAGGATACTGGGCTAGATGGACCTTTGTCTGACCCAGAATGTCTTAAGTTCTTATGTCCTGACAGTGTCACTTTAACTACGATCCCACACAGTCTGCATTCAACAGGTCATAAACAGTGAGGTCCATGTGCAGATGAAAGTGGGGGAAAGGAGAAGAAAGGACAAGAAAGGCAATAATAAATATTGTCTCTCTTTTTATGCTCCTGCCTCTCTCTGGCTGTATCCAACTGGTGTCTCTTGTCTCATACTTACACTGCAAGCTCTTTGGGGAAAGACCGTCTTTTTGTTCTGTGTTTGTACAGAGCCTAGCACAGTGGGCTCCTGGTCCATGACTGGAGCTCCTAGGCGCCACGGTCATACAAATAATTAATAATAATAAATAATAGCATCAAGCCTAATTCATTCCAATTTTGTGTGTCCGCAGTAATTTGGTGGTAAGGAAAGGGAATCCAGAAGATGTGGTTCATGATCTTATTACGCAGCTGGGCTCCGTGGCTGCCGTGGCTTTCCATGAAGAGGTAAAGGAAAGGTTTGAACTATGTTGCCTCAGCATAAAATTGGCAAGACCTTTCAGTGCAAGGCAGTATTGGACTTGCCTGGCCTGTGAATTCAGCGTCAGAGACAGGGCCGGCTCCAGGCACCAGGCACCCAAGCTGGTGCTTGGGGCGGCACCTGGAGTGGGGCGGCGCGGCGCTCCGGCCGCCGGGGAGCGCGGGGCCACAGCCGGGCTCGCCGCCC